CGGACTCCACTCGAGGGCTGCAGAACGCAGTTCGATGCTCGTAGTGCAGCCATCGCACTAACACCCCGCCACACTTACCGGTACCTGAGGTTCTCCGGCCTCGCTGCTGGTCTGAGCCTTTGGTGCCTTCCTTTCAGACAGCGCTAAGCAGAGGGGACGATCCAGCAACGGTCGCTTAGTCGTGTCTGATTTGGTGGCAAGCCAGCTCTTCGGTTTCCCGAAGCTGATGACTTGAATGCAATCTCGTTAAGCTGACCGCGACTCAGTTCAGCGCCGTGGTGACGCACATAAGTCCGACAGTCGATGCTGCATTGTCTGTTCGGCAAGCGAGCTGTACTGTGTGGAGTGAATGATTCTATAGGGAAGAAAGTATGAATAGTACAAGTCTCGTTCGTCTGAAGGGCAGGCATTTCTGTCCGAATGCTGCAAGTACAACCAGACTCTGAAGCAGCGTTTGTTTCTGGCGTTTGGTCGGAGTGGGCGTGTGGGGATTAAGGGTGTATCCTGGAGTGCAGCGTTTGTGTCGTGCATTTGGGTCACTGTTGTAGGCTTTTGTGTTATGGAAAGACCCCAAAAATGTTTGCGAAATGGTTGACTGGGCTTTTTTTCCTACGCTTGCGCTTGCTGCGAGCTTATTCCAGCTTTAGCTCGTATTTTAACTGCTTCCAATCAGAGCCACCATGCCGAAAAAGCCCCTCTTCAACTGAACGCTTGCTGGTTAACAGAGCAGAAGCTCTCTCTGGGTGGCTGGTTTCACCACAGGGCAAGAAACGAAAAATAAGTGAAACGAAAAAGTTAAGCTATGATCAATTTTTGATCATAGCTTGGCTGACGAAGCTTCAGCCTGCGCCGCTGTAATGAGCAACTCCACGAAATTTAATGCATCGAGAAGGGGCTGTAGCCTTCAGAGAGGCAACGGCATTTTTGGGAAGTGTAGCAATTGCAGAGAGGTGGAAGTCCTGGAAATTAGGACTACTATATGTTGTGAGAGCCCACACACTCAATTGGAGGAAAGGCTATTGCAGGGGAGCGCCACCGAGAAGCTGATACACGTAGCGCGGGGTTGCCCATTAACTGAAAGCTGTAGTTCCCGCTCTAGGAAGCCCTGCGTAGGCTGCAAGGGATGCTCAACACTCAGATGCCTGGGAAAAGCTCGTTTTAGGGTTGGGAGAACGGCTCCTCACGGACTCAGAGAGAGATAGGAGAGGTGAATAGTATCGAGATTGAAGATCTATGCAATGTGCGGGATTCAGCAACAACGCAGAGTCTTTTCCTGACGAACGGCTGCCAAAAATAACAGAGTTCAGTGTTAAGCGAGGCAATATAGTTCTCTGTTACGAGCACTCACTCGCCATCCCAACAGAGGGCGAGCGCTGCTCCGTGGGCAGGGAAAAACGCTCGCTGGCCGGGGTGCGTAAATTGTTCTTTTTCTGCTACCTCGCACACTTATTACTTTCAATGCAGCACCAAGATGTGGAATGCACTGCCACTAAGGAAGATCTGAGAGGACTCGAGAAGCAACTGGTGTGAAACGCAGCTAAACATGCGGTCAGAAACTGGGTCAAGTGCTCAAAGTATTCACTTTGATTGCTTGCGGACGACAACACAAAAGCTTGCAGGTGCATCCCGAGCTCAAAGTACAAGATCAAAACGCATCGCTTCAACGACGGCGCGTCTGTGGGCTGCGTAAGCGTGGCAGTATTTCCCCACCCAAACCGAAATGGCTTGCGGGGCACGCAAAAATTCCAACGTGGCCCACGACGAAGAGCTACTGCCCCAGTTAAGATTTTAATAGCTGCTTGATCGCAAACGCTGGCCGTCCGACTTCTGCCGCACCACCGCCCTGTGCCTTCATCAAACACCTACTGTCTGCGCAGCACCGGGCAATATCTGCACAAGAGGACACGACCACTAATTCACAGAAAAAAGGTCCCCAGACCACTTGAGTAGGATTAGCCTGCACAGAAGCGGCTGGTACAATGACTAAAGCGCCACACTGGACGTGGCATTACCTTGTTTGGCTGTGCATGCGCGCTCTACTCGAGTTTGAGAAAATGCGTTTGAGCCGTGGAAACCCATGCTCATTGTTCCGTATCCGTGCTTCAACACGCCCCGCCGTTCTCAGTTGATATTGAAACTTGGGTTAACAAAGGAGCCTTTAGCTTTCCGTTGATGTGAGCGTTGATTACTACGTGTAGCTAGCCGTGGGTCACTGGTAAGAAACGCGAAGACTGGTTCATACTGCGTCATTTAAACGCATTTCTCCTTCATGTCTCCTGTAATTATCTCCTTTCTATCTTTGGTGCTGTGTAGCTCTAATTTTGTGCAAAACTCCGGCGGTATTGCCGCAACTGCAACACTCTATTTTGTTCTCGGGCTTCCGTTGAAGAAGGGAGCATCTCCCCATGGCCGTGACGCCCACAACGGAAGCCTTGGAGTCTTATGCAAACAAGCTTTGCCGCACAAGAACAGCAGTTTTGTGAAATATCTCGGGGGGGTATCAGCAACTTGCAAAACGACAGCATCCGCGTTTCTTGGAAGGACGGCGAATCCATCCTGAAGTAGACGAGTAGTCATAGCAGCGGCACTAGAAATTGGAGTACAAGGCCTGAAAAACGGCTGTGTATTGGAAGCAGTGCTATGGGAGTGGAAGAATTTGCGATAGTGGGCAGTAATTAAAAATTTTGGAGGCTGGAACGTGCGAGCGCCGAAGAACTTGCGCAAATATGCGTTCTCCACAGAGTCCCCAGAGAGATCAATTAAAAGATATAAAGGCTGAGTGTAATATTTCATTTTTTGTGCGGGCGGGGTCTTTCAGAACTAGCAGAACAGGGAATTCTCCATGTGTGGTCACATGCGAATCACAGAGTGTGAAAGTCGATAAGATCGCCGATCACTAGTACCCGCTGTTCCTTGTTTCTACCGGATCCATGCCCGTTCCAATGAAAACCTGAAGAAAGGCTCAGTTTTCTTAAATAGGTTTTTTTACTGCTTTCTTTGACCCTTTACGCTGAAACTCGAACACTTCGTGGTTCTGGGCTCCATGGTGGGGCCCGAAAGAGGCCACTGCCTCCAACAAGAAACGTTTCGTCTGTGCGCTGCCTTCTGTTGTAAACAATAATGCAGTTCAAAAGGTCTCGACATGCGTAATCGGCGTTGCACTGTGGGTTTCTGAGGATGGAGTTCGTGATTGGGGATGAAACCGGACTATGCAAGGAACTATCTTGGCTCTCCAACGAGACACGTCGCACTCGCATCATCAAAAAAGCAAAGCAGAGCCGTTCTCTGGGCGTCACAACATTATGCTGGTCAGGGACTCCAAGGTAAGCAGGTACAAGCAGGTAGTTTCCCGGGTGCAACTGGACTGGTGTTGCTTCTTCATTGTTTGAAGAGCAGAACTTAAAAGTGCTTGCTAAGTTAGGATTTTGTATGTACATTGAGTCTCATTTAGCGGCTAATTGTGTAGTGACTCCGATCAGCAGAGACAGTCAGCGTGAAGCAGCGTCAAACTAAGGAAACTTCGCCCCTGCTTCCCTTTGTGCACTGTGTGCGCATGCGCAGCGGCAATGAGGTGTCAGAGATTGCAGTTGGGCGTACGTGTGGCTCCGTTGAAGCGTTTGCCACATCTGATGTTGTATGTGAGGCTGCAGTGCCTGCCACAGCGAGCTTGGGGGAAAGCACTCTGGATGAGCCTTTGCGGTCATTCCAGCTGCCGTCAGCGCCTGTACACATTTCAATGATAAGCCCAGAGGCGGTGCGCGCCCATACACGGTCGCTTTTGTGCAAATCATGGTTAGGAAGTGGTGTAACAGCTGGCGAAGCTTCTCTGCGGACTGCGTTGCTTTCAGCAGCAACAGGTGATGCAGCTAGTGCTGCAGGTGACCCATCCTGCAGCAGTAGTTCAAGACTCTTGCTTGCCGTAGGCGAGGAAGGTCACGCCTGCGTAGTGGAGTGGGAGGGAATTTATAACGTGCGTCTTGTTGAGAAGCCAAATGAGTCAGCGCAACAATGCGCACCAGAACATGAGGTCGTCGATAGGGAGGAAATGGAAGTCGGCGTAAAGTTTCTTCCGATCGGGAAAAAAACCAACGATGGCGCTTCTCCTGTGCAAGAGGCAATAGTGGACACTCCTTCTTGGTGCAGGGCTGCGTATAAGCTTCCAGGTCCAATTGCGGCGGCCAGCACTAATCCTTTGTGTCACAGTCTGTTGGCTTTTGGGGGGAGGGAGAATGATGCGAAAGTTGTGGATTTAGACTATGGAAAGCTTTTGTGGTCGGCAAAAAACGTGAAGGCCAGTTTTCTTGGCCTTCGGTGCCAGGTGGCGATTACTCAAATTGATTGGCTGCTGCCGATTCACCCCATGGTAATAGCTGTGGGAACTGCGAAAGGCGCACTGCGTTTCTATGATTTGCGATGCCAGCGCAGGCCAGTGCTAGAGGTGTGTGAAGCCACACAGGAAAGAAGGCCTGTGACAGCCCTGTGTGTCCGCCCGACAGCTGAGGTACTGCAAACTAAGACACACATGAGGGTCGCTTTAGCAAGAGCTGCAGAGTCTTCAGCGGTTTCTGTTTGCCGCGATGTTGCGATGGAAGGTTTGTCATCAAAAGGTTTTGACAAAGACGGTCAATTTTCTAAATGTAAGGGGCCTCCTGAAGACCAGAAAGGCCCCAGTTGCGATGCCACCACAGCAGCTGATACAGCACAAGAAGTGCTCTCACGTTGTAGTGGCAAGGACACCGCCACCGTATACTACGCAGACTCATATGGGATGATCTACGGCATAAGGGTGCAGGGTGGCTCAGCCTTGCTGCGTCTTGCTGACAAAACGCTTCCTAAGTATAATCCATCGTCGTATCGGTCTCTCAGTGATCAGCCTCACGCATATCACTCTGCCGAAGTAAAGCGGAAGCTCATTTCTGCAATGTTGGATAAACAAAGAGGAAAGCTGACCTCTAGGAAAAATGATCATCCAGTTTCAGCCGCTGCTTGCAGCGACTTGCAACTTGCCGCAGTTTCAGTGGGAGGATACAAAGAAGCTATGGGGGCTATTGTCGGTGAGTGCTGCTTTCCTTTTTTGCTCAGTAGGCACATCAAAAATTTCACGGAGCCTCCAGGATTTCATTTTCGGTAGCATGTTTTTTCTTCCTCACAGGCTTAGGACTGGATCCAGCTGGGGAGTTTCTTGTGGCTGTGGGCTTGGGGCGCTATGCATACGTTTTTGATGCAAAGTCCCGGAAGCTACGCGAAAAGGTGAGGATTCTGACCTGTTTGGCGGCCTCATGTGTGGTTGATGCACATAGAAGTCAAAAGGTGAGTCTCTGCATGGACAGTCTAGTTGCTTTTTGTTGCAGGTTTTTCTGAAGCAAAAGCTTACCTGTCTTTTGTCTGGAGGCGGAGTAGGGGCTGGAGGAGTCAAGCGCTGTACGGCTACGAAAGGCAGTACACACACAAAACAGGAAAGTGGCAGCAGCTCAGATCTCAACAGTTCCGGTGAGGAGCAAGGCAGCGAATGTGATAGCTCCCTTGCTTCTGAAGCGGCAACTGATGATGAGACAGAAAGTAGCCGACGCCCTGTTGAAGCTGCGGGTGAGCCCTGCGTGCTCTCAACAAGCTCAGATGATGAACAGTTGAGGTGCACGGCCTCAGGTTCTCAAGTGCACAGGCGCACACAACGTAGCATGCCGAAAAAGCGAAAGCGCTCTACTCATGAAGGGGGCGCTGCACGTTGATAAGCGGCGTGCTTCGAAAAATCATAAATCTGCCCCAGACAATGCGGCGTGGCAATGCTCGCTTTGAGTGGTTCCGCCTGTAAGCTGCTAACAAGTGGTCTGTAGTCACCATGAAAATTTGCAAAAGATTATTAGCTGCGTTTCAGCAACTAGTCTTCTTGGGGGCCGTTTATTAGCACTTGATTCAGTGAGAGCAAATGAGCGTACGCCTAAATAGGGGTACTTGGAACTATGTGTAGCGTTAGGAACTAAGCGCTGGCCACCATGCAAATTAGCCACTCGTTGAGTGAGTGAACATCACCACAAACAGCTACATGCAGCGGAATGCTCCCAGAAGAATGCGAGCTTGCTTCTATCTGAACGGAGGAAGATGCTGAACGCCCTCATGCAGTGAGCCTCGACTGCTATATGGAGCCGCTGCAAATCAACCACGCCAAATTCGGGCACGGAAGCGTGCATTGGAAGTTAGGTCTGAGCTGTGTTTGGGCTCAGGAATCGCCTTAGTTGTAAGTAAAAAGCGTCTCTGTACGTGCTGCAGGGAGCATTTATCTGCCGTTTAAGGTGCTTGTCAGATTCCATGACTGTTGGCCGCACTGCCTGCTTTGTTGAGTGCGCTATACGGACGAAATTTTGGCAGCGCAGGGTGTCCTCCCGTATTATCAACTGCTGCTCCAGTGGCATTTTTGCGCTGTAAAGAAGGTGCGTAGCCTTTCTGTTGTGGGTTGATACACGCCTTCGGGTTCCCAATAAGGCTCCAGAACGCCAATTGTACAATGTTATACTGCGCAGCTTATCGGCGAGGCGAACAGTACAGTGTAAGTGCACTGCGAGTCCCTCTCCTCATGACAACACTTCATGGGCCGCTTCGAGCACACCTTTCCCCTTCTGCCTACGCTTGGTAGGAGCTGAGTAGCATCTAACGGTCACATAATGGCTGCCCCTCGAGCACGTACAGAGATCCCCTTCTAATTAGGGGCAACTTACATGCCTTCCTGAGACCAGGGTACTCCTGCACGTGCCCACAAATCTCAAGCACGTACAACTTAGCCACACTCGAGTAACTGCTGTCACGCCCATGCTACGCAGTACACCCCCGGCGCTCGTTAGTTCGACTTTCACATAGCGAATCTTGCTACAATTTTGCCAGACTGTCGAAGAATTCGGGGTGAGTGTGCAGCTTGGTGTACCCCAACTTTCATTTCGCAGAAAGCTGTTGACTGCCCACTAGCCGCTCCAGATGTTGTCTCGGCGCCAGACTGCATCCCTCCGCGGCCGGCTTAAGGGTCTTTTCCACGCCGTTTGTTTGCGCATTCCCTTTAATCTCGCACAGATAAAGGTGTTGGGCTTTCCTGGTACTGCACACAGGGGACCTGCACTATGTGGGTGTCGCATAGCAATCTCGCCCACCCATTGAGGAAACCGGCATGTTTCAACGCTGCTTCACTTATATCTTGACTGATAGCGAAAGTGCGCAGTACCCCTTTGCCCGGCTTCATAGTCCCGGCGCATCTCTCTTTGCATGCTAGTGAGCAAAGGAGCATCTGCGGAGGTGGCAGAGGCTTTCAGCACTCGACAATTAGCCACCACGTTCATTTTCTACTCGCAGGACCTGTCACCTTGCTTTTCAACTTTGATTGCTCGAGCATACATCGGTAAGGAAGTGCGGCCTACCCATACAGTATCAAGCAGCTAAGCTGTCTCCCGTTTGTGAAAACTAAGTTGATCGTATGCCAACAGATAAACAATGAACTTGACTGAACGATTTTTTCTCCCTAATGAGACGCAGTTCTTGTAGCAATACAGGGTCGCTTCGACAGGCGTTCCAGCAGGTAACACGTCAAGAAGCACTACTCGGTGTTTCCTTAATTCACCGAATATAGTCTTAGGTGTATTCTAGGCTTCACCGGACTGTAGACACCCTTCAAACAACTTATGCGCACGCGAAATAGAGTGCCACAGCAACTTTTGTTGGCAACTCAGATTAACTTTTATAGGGCAGTCTTGCTATGGAACACGAGTACAGATACTGAGGTCCCTCTTGCTCCTCATAGTTATGTGTTTCTGCGGATTATCACTTTGGATTGAGTCACTGGGAAGTAAATCGCTTGCACCAGATCACGATGATGACCCAACTCTGCACATGCTTGCTATACTGACTCCCTGATTGGCGCTTTCGCCTGTGTCCTCGCATAAGACGTGTGAGTTACATTGTCCACCTAGTCAAGCAGCAGCCTGTAGCAGCCTGTTTCACACATTTTTGGGATACATGTCCCTACAGGATATCACACGGTTGCTTTGAAGAGGTCTCTGGTCTTGGTACCTCTGACGGGGTACCTTATTCCCCAGTCTCACTATGCGCAGTCGCGGCAGATCTAAGCATGTGATATTCTCGTAGGTTCTCAGCTTAGCAGACGTAAAGCATCGGTCACCCTTTTGTCGTTTAAGCGAATCTAGCGGAAGATGAGACCACGGGAAATTCATCTCGCAAGGCTGTCTCAAGGGCACTCAGTATAGCATCAGATCACTACCCGTGACGCAGCACAATCAAAGGGCAATAGCTCTTTGTTGGCATAGGTGAAAACACAGAGCCTGAGAAGCTGCCGAGCTCTACACCGTAACCGTCGTACATAAGCTGGACAAACAAAACCACAGGAAGCCCCAGTGTTTGTTTTTGCTTCACTTGTGGCTAGCGGACTCTGCGCGAATGGCTGCAGTCATGCCTATCCTAAGCAGCGAGCCTCAGCCATCATTAGTCTGCACTTTATACAGTAGTTCTCGCCACAAGTACAGCACGCTCTCAAGTATACCTAATTGTTTGAGATATCGTTTCGTGCTGCCCCTTAATCGGCCTCTGGCGATATGTTTGCGGTTCACCAGATTCACTAGACGTGGTTCGTGCGCCACCCTTTGATGTTGGTGGTTGAGTCGAGCAAGTGAAACCAACAGTTTGGCTGCGGCCCGCTGAAAGTTACCGTATTTCCATTCCCAATCAAATGTGGAATAGTCATGAATCCATGATGTACGTCTCCACCAGAAGTAGATCTCACCGTCAACGGTTCCAATAGAGCACATTTACTTTGTCGTTCCGCTGTCTGGATATTAGTGACGTCAAACTTCCTCTGCTTCCAGCCTTTCCAAGCAGTCGTGGAACCTTAGTCTGTAGCCCTGCATATGGCGTCCTCAGTCTTCAGTCGTGCTACGGGATTCTTGTAAAGTATTACAAGAGGAATTATTTCTTCTGCATAATCAGGCACATTAGCCGTATCACGATTCTTCATCACGATTCTGAGTTCCGTGTGTTCGGGGCGTCCGGTGCAGCCCTATACCGAAAAGCTTCCAGTTGCGCAGGTTCATGTGTACCTTCGACACAACTCCGCCGTCTTACTTTGTCACTGGTCCCCCATAAGTGCCAACTGAACTCTCAGGAATAAATCCCCGTACGGCCAGTAGCTGTACTTCACGGAGTCCGCTCGGTGCCTACCTCTGCTTCTGCCTATCTTGAATGCACCCTAAACGCCTGCAAGAATACGCCTATTACCTAGATCGAACAAATCACTTGGGAGGCCAGAAGTGCTGCACATCCCTTGAGCAGAGCTGAACTTTGTTCCTAGCAACGACGGCGCAGTGTATCTAAGCCCCTACAGGGCCGCTGACAGCCACAAGGAGCACCCTAACAGATGAAGGCGCAAGTTCCGAGCACTGTCGGTGCTCTTGCTTGCCTTCGTACTATGCCATTTTTGCATCTTGCTCCTTCCTCTTCTATTTCACCTTCCGAAACCGCTCAGGGCCACCTTGTGTGCGCCGCAGCAGCTTGACGTTAATTCGTAGTGTTACTGTCAACAATGCAAAGGACTAGAATAATTGCGTATCGCTCCGCAGCAATACAACCTGTCGCAGAAGAACGCTAATCATGGTTACATATCCTCGCAACTAGTGGGAACCTTAGAAGGGCGAAAGAGAACACAAATTGCTTGCCCTTCGTCGTAGTTAAAGGCCTCATGGAAAAATGCAATTGGGATCCGACATCAAATTATTATCTAAATGATCCTTGGTAGAAGATAGCATTTGTTACTTATTCCTACCAAGGAATAAGTGGGTAACTATGAGCTTTTGGCGTCAGCAGCGTTTACAATACTTCACGATATAACGTCGCGTGCCTTAAGGCTTCCGTGGGTAGCTAACGTGAGTAACACCCGCGATCCCTCGCAACTGCGACAGGTAACGCGTGGCAGAAAATACAGAAGCGGCTGATCACACTCTGGGATCTTGCTTTCATCTGCAGAAAACCCGCGTTCGCTGACCTTGGAATCTTAACACGCCCACACGGTCGTTCGACTGCAAAAAAGAGAACCGCAAAGATGGAGGCGCACTTGGCCTCACTCTCCATAAAACTATACGCTGTACCCAGCATTCTGGTGCTGGGGTGAGTCTCGTTGAAGATAGTCACGGCTGCCCTCCTTGGTGGACGCACTATGTCACGACGAGTCGAGTTTCGAAGTTGTGCTGTAGCTGTGCCTGATATTCTTTTGGCGAGATAAGGACCGGAGGCACTGCTCAACAGCACACAACTTTTGCTGGATTTCTAGCTGCACTTGCAGCAGCTGTCGACCTGTAGCCGACCCAACAACTCGACTGCAAGCTTCAGCGAATTCCTTGACTGCAATGACCACAACAGAAGGCAAGCAACCTTTCAGCAAGTAAGTTTCCGCACATAAGCACCACAAAAAGGCGTATTCAATTGAACAGTTCGCTTGGAATGTCTTGGAAGAGGCAGCTACTCGTACGACGATAACGCGCCTACCAGTGACAAACTGTATGCCCCGCTGATGGTACATGCTAAGAACATCGAACGCTTGGTAAAAGGGGATACGCGCCTCCTGAATCGTAACAGAAAGTGAGAAATGGAATGAGCTTGTTAATTCTACCCGTCCAAGCAGGAAATGAAACGCAAGCGAATGCACGCGTCAGAAAGATGTGGCCGAAGTGCTGCAGACTTCCCA